AGGTCCCTTCCGACCCGACTAACTATGAAACTATGAAACCTCTAACTGCAAAGAGATCTGATCTGCCTCTCAAAGGTCCTATCTGGCACCAGGGAGTGGGGGCACAAAACTACACTATTCTACCCCTCCCCTCCACAGTGAATGCAGCCAGCTGACCACTTTGGGAGACAGAGACGTCTGGCCTACAGCTACAGTGCGGTCACAGGCTTCTGCCACACTGACAAAAGGCTGCTTATCTACCCCTGGTTTAGATGGCTTAAGTGCCCATCCTGCTGAAAGTCGCTTCTAAGTCTTTTTATTTGAGCTGAATGACAAAAGTCTGTTCATAAATTGTAAAAATGCAGTATTATTTGCAACATAGTAGTGCCTAGAAAAGCAGACCGCGGTGGGGACTCTGTTCTGCTAGGTGCTGCACGCGTTTATTTTAAGTGCTCCTGCCCTGAGGAGCTTACAGTCTAACAGCCCCGTGCAGATGATGAAGGGGAAAGTTGTATCACCCCATCTTTACAGCAGTAAAGGAATACAAAACTGGAAGGAACCTGTATCACTGGGTGTTTTTACACATGGTTATGAGGGCGGGTGGGCATTTTAATTGGAGCAGCTGTGCCCTAATTAAAGCACCCAGAGCATCTCGTGTATCAATGTCCCCATGCTGCAAAATGCCAGTGGGGGTGCTTTACCTAAAGCCCATCACAGGAGCATTAAAGTTAGCCAACCTTTCTTTATACTCAGTATAAAAAAGGGTTGGCTGCCAGTTCGCAGCATGCCAGTCACTCCCAGACTTGCAGTCCGGCAGCCAACCCTCCTGCGGACCGGCAGCTAACCCTTCGTGGCCTGGGGGTTGGGAACCCCCACCCCAAATCCACTTCAAGGCCACACGCTATAGGAAGAGCTGAGAACTAAAACCCAGTTTTCTAAATCCCAGTCCTTTAGCCACAAAACAATCTTTCCTCAGCTTTTATTTAAGGTATCAATCCTCCTGGTTTCTGGAAAGGAGAACCACCGTGAAGAGTTATCTTTCTCTGTGGTCTGTTGCAATCAGGGGAGTGTAGGGACTCCTACTGAACTTCAGTTTCCCAAATTCTCTGTGTGCACTGCATTTCTTCCACTTAATGCAACTGTAAGAGATTAACAGTAACATAAGCATACTTAAACCATGAAGCAGCTTCCTAGCTCAGAGGAGTGAAGCGAGAGTGCCAGGATTTATAATCTCATGTTCTTTTTTAGTATTTAGTTTTGATTTCTAACAAGAATCTGTTGCTTAACAAGAGGCAAGTTCACAGATGGCCACCAGTCAGACCAAATCCAAGCGTGTAAGTTTGACGGCATGTGTGCTGAGTGTGCAGCATACTATGTAAATTCAAGCAGATAGGCTTTCTTTGGTGTACTTACGTTAATTTGACGTCCCTGACACTCTACTCAATGGAGTGGGTGTTGCAAATTAAACTGCATCTGAAGTGAGTTTATCTTTTGGCAGCAGTAACATGGTGTAATCAGCACTATCTTCTCTTCCTGCCTTCAATAATTTCAGAGGTAGAAAACACTCAGGGCATTTGCACTTTTGCACATTTTATTTTGGATATAACACTCCAAAACCCTGCTTTGGAGTCCATGGCTACTTCCATTGAACCTCTCATTCACATCATAGAATCATAGAAAATGAGGGTTGGAAGGGACCTC